CGGAGTACGGGGGGCGGGCGGACGGAGGCGGAGCTGGATAGCTTGCACGCGATGCGGCATACAAAGCGGGGTGCCGGTCGCAAGGCGGGCGGGGGGGACAGGACGGCGCCCCCCCCTCGGAAGGGGGTATTTGTCCTGGCGGGTGCCAAGGGCAAAGTGCGCGTCTTCCAATATGAGCCCAAGACGGATCCGTTTGCGAAGGGCCTGGTTGTCCGGTGTGTGGCGGAGCAAGCTCCCCGAGACACGTGCCCGCGTGGCCTCTCCGGCATTTTGAGAGGAGGCCGCCGACGTCCCACCCAGCTCCTTGCCGTGACTACAGACCACAACCTCCAGTGGCTCCGAGGCGGGGATTTGGCGCCGTCCCGGGTGGTGGTCGGGTACAATGACCAGGTGATCGCGGTGAAATACCTGCCGGGCCTGGGAGGCGGGAGGGATGGGAGGCGGGTGGTGGTTGCGAGCAATAGCCCGCAGGTCCGCGTCTTCCGTTTGGACGATTTGAGTTGTGAGTGTCTGCTGGAGGGGCAGCATACCGAGACGGTGCTGGCGGTGGACGTGAGTCCAGACGGCCGGTGGGTGGTGACAGGAAGCAAGGATCGGTCTGTCTGCTTGTGGCAGCTCGGACCCGCCGAGAGCCTGGAGGAAGGGCAGGACGGAGATAGCGAGTGTGTGGCGGGCCGCTGTGTCCGGCGCTACGAAGGGCACACCGATGCTGTGAGTGCGGTGGCCGTGGGGCGGAAAAAGGCGGCCTACCAGCTTCTCGCGTCGGGGAAACCGGGGGGGGCAGCTGTGGCTTACTCAGCGGGTGCCGACCGAACCTTGAAGCGTTGGCTCTTGGCTCCTCCTACCCCCAAGCCGGCGAGACACCAGGATTTGCGACAGAAAGAGGCCAATGGCAAGGTCGAGGAGCACGGTCAGGGAAAAGGGAGCGCAGGAGCTCCGTCTGTGCCGTCGACCACTGAGGCATCGGCGAGTGTGCTGGCCCATGATAAGGACATCAACGCGCTGGCTGTGAGTCCGAACGACGCCTTGGTCGCCAGCGCCTCGCAGGACAAGACCGTGAAGCTCTGGGAGGCTCGAGATCTGCGGGCGGTGGGGGTCTTGAAGGGCCACAAGCGGGGCGTTTGGTGCGTCGAGTTCTCGCCTGTGGATCGCTGCGTGGTAACGGGAAGCGGGGACAAGACCGTTCGTTTGTGGTCGTTAACGGACTTCTCCTGCCTGCGCTCTCTGGAGGGGCACACGGCCTCGGTGCTGGCCGCCACCTTTCTGAGGAGCGGGCTGCAAGTCCTCTCGGCGGGGGCGGACGGACTGTTGAAGCTGTGGACGGTGCACACGCAGCAGTGCGAGGCGACCATGGACGGGCACGAGGAGCGGGTATGGGCCCTAGCCCTCTCCCCAGACGGACGTCAGGCAGTGACTGGTGGTGGGGACTCGGCCGTGAATGTGTGGGAGGATGTCACGCTGGAGGAGGAGGAGCAGGCCCTGCGGGCGGCCGAGGCGATGGTGGAGAAGGAACAGTCGCTGCAAAATGCGGTGTCTCGCAAAGATTACTTCAAGGTAAGTTTCATGGGCACTCTCATTGCGTGGCGTGGGAGGGAAGGAATTGACGAGGTGATGTGTACGGGCATGACGTGACTTAACAAGTGTCTCCAGCTGCAAGGTTTCGCACGCCCTATCACCCACCCGTACGCCTCGCTGCGAGGGTTTTGGGCATAAATACCGTGCCAGAGGAGCAGCAGCCATCCTCCAGGTGGCTTGCGGCAGGCGTGGTCAGCGATGACGGGAGCTGTCTTCTTCTTGACGCTCTCCGTACGATCACGCCCACATGAAGCCTTGCCCCTTGTCCTCCGCCCCGTGCTTCTTTCGGGCCCCGCTTTCGTGTCGCTGGTCATTACCTTGCACAATCACCCACCTCCTTCCGCCCTTCCACTCTCCCTCCATCGAAGGCTGTGCGCCTGGCTCTGGAGCTCGGCCGACCCTACCGGCTGCTGAAAGTCCTCCAGGATATCCTCGAAGCCGCCCCCTCCGCTTCCACGGACACCCTTTCCCTCTCCCCCACCTCGTCCCTCTCCATTGCCCTGGATCCCTACATCCTCCAGTGGGGAGACGCGGACATCCTGCAGGTCCTGGGCTACGTCCGGGAATGGAATACGAACGCCAAGCACGCCATGATAGCTCAAACCATCCTGCACGCCCTCCTCCGCTTGCTCCCGCATGCTCGTCTGAAGAAATGCTGCGCCTCCCAGCCAAGTCTTCTGGGAGGCCTCCTTGCTTACACCGAAAGGCACCTGGCCAGGGCAGATCGGCTGATTCAGGGGGCCTACCTGATTGACTACACCCTGAGCGGGCTGCAGGTGCTATTTCCCTTCCCGGCTGAGGAAGCGAGCGAGGGGAAGGGACCAAGGCCGCAAACGCAGTCACTGGCGCTGCCGTCGACCCCTGGACCGGAGGAGGGCATACAGAAGGAAAGCTGGGTCCCAGAAAGAAGGGAGGATGGGAAGAAGGGCGAGAGCGAGGAGGATGCGGAGAGCACGTCCTCCTCCTCCTCGTCCGCATCGGGGGAGGAAGGCGATGGGGAGGCGGAGGAGTTAAGCACGCAAGCTACCTCGTCCTCTTCCCCCTCGCAGGCTGCGAAAGGGAAAGCCAAGAATGCCAAGAAGAAGGCACCCCCGGCGGAGCAATCGACGCCGTCCGCTCGACCGCTGCGTGCCCCGAGGGAGGGATCAGGAAGGAGGCAGGGCGCTCAGACTCGAGTCGGAACAAGGGCCGTTGCGTCCATGGACACACCCACTCCTTCCACGTCGAGGGGCTCCCAAGTCCGGAGGCGCGGTCCTCAGGAAGTGGTTGAGAAATCCGTGGAGCAAGGGAGGGAGAAGAGCGAGAGCCAAGGTGATGCAGGGACTCGGGGAAAAAGGAAAGCGAATGGGAGTACCGGACAGGGTCGTGACAGAAAAAGGAAAATCAAAGTGTAAGGATTTTGGGGCTCATCAATTGACTGATGTGTGTAAAGCATCTTTTCAAAGTAAAGTAATGAAAAAAGTACCGAAATTGTCAGCCACTTGCGTCCCAAGAGACCATATGAACGATCCAAATCCGCATCCTCCTCCAAATCCAGGACCAAAGCAAGTCCAAGGCTCTGTATCAGGACACTCTTGCGCGTTACCGACCCACATTGTTTGAATATTTATTATCTGTCGATCCCTCCTGTTTTGACGAGGAGACACACTCGTAGTGGCGCCTTTCCTCCACCCCCGGCTCCCAAGCCTCTATACAAACCGCCCCCTCACCACATGAACCGCGCCACACTCCCGTCGCCCCACAAGAAGGGCCGATACAAGAACACATACACAGTCAAAGCATCGATAAACACGAACAAAACAGTGGAAAGGAGCAGGGACGTGTGCGAGCGAGGCGGCGCTTCCAACAGGGTCATGACGAGGGGCAACGTGAAGTAGCGGGGCTCCAAGAGGTGCGCTGGCACCAGGACCAGAGCAACGGCCACGCCCACAACCAGCACGGTCAAACTGCTACTTCTTCTACTCGCACCACTCCCTTGGTAAACGCGAGTGGTCAGCCACCACCCTGCCAACGCGTACAGGGGCGTGAGAAAGAGGTTGGCAAAGGGGTACCTCTGGAAGACCCGCCGCCAAAGGTAGAAGACGTAGTGCCGGTTGTCGGCGAGGAGGAAGGGGTGGGAGAGGGTGAACCGGTGCAGCACCAGGCCGGCCAGTGCCAAGACAAACATGCCAGGGAGCAGCCCCCCCCCCGTCCCCGCCCCCGACCGCAGCCACCGCCCGAAGCCCTCTATCGCGCTGCACTTGTCGCCCTCTGCCGGCTCCCACACCCCGGGGACCAGAAAGAGGGGCCGGTGGACACAGGCGGCAAGGAGGAGGAAGTAGGCGAACTGCGCCACGTGGAAGGTGGGGACGTGGTGGCCGGCGTCCCCGAGCACGACCCGGCCCCCGTTCCAGGCCAAGAAGCCCGCGAAGCCGAGGATGGCGAGGACGTACGGCCAGAACCGCCGGAGGAGGGACGGGAGGGACCGAAGCAGGTACACGCCGAACTGAAGGAGGAGGGAGAAGGAGAGGGGCTCGCTGGGATCGGGCAGGTTGGGTTTGGGGCCGGCGGCGGCGAAAAAGAGCCCGCCCGTCCCGGAGGCCGTGCTCCCCGTTCCTGAGAGCTGGCCCTTGGCGCTGTGGCCCGCCAGGGGCGTGGTCGGGTAGTAGTAGTCCCTCTTCAAGAAGGCGGTCTGCAGGTCCTCCACGATGCTCGTTCCCAGCACGAAGCAGACCCAGATCACGTTGGTCTGGCGCAGGAGCAAGCTCGCCCCTCCCACCACGGCCGCCTGCACGTGCCTCTGCCGCCGCGCCAGGTAGTACATGCCCAGCACCGCGCAGAGCGAGGCGGCATCCGTGTAGTCCAGAAAGCCGAAGAAAAAGATCACGGGGTAAAGGCTCAAATTCAAGGCTTGCGCGAGCGCCTCCCCGTTGCTGAGCTGCTGCACCCGGTAGAAGATGGCCTGCAGCAGCATAAAGGACCCCAGATTGAAGGCAGCGCTCAACGGTCTCAAGTACGGGACGAGAGATGGGCCGTCGTCCGCACACAGGGGGATCCCTCCCACGCCCATGAGGCGGCGCACGCTTTCTATGCTGCGGACCAGGGCCGCGCCTAGTAGGTAGAGGCCCGGGGGGGTCGTAATCTTCGGGTCCCATACGTCTGCGGTGCGAAAAGGAGACGACGGTAAGGTCGATGAGCAAACAGGGGGTACGCGCCACAGTACGCGAGACGGAAAGGCAGGGACGCCGCGCTCGCCTACTCGCCGCCAACACGTTTTCGGTCAAGACAAGAGGCCTCGCACTCCCGCTAAAATATTACAGAATCGAGGTACCTACCAAATCGACCCTGGCAGTAAGCCCGTGTTTGCCTCTCGTGGAAAAGCTCGTCCTGGGTGGAATACGGCAATTGATGAGGAGGAGATTAGGAGGAGGAACCAGGACTCCTTTTCTCGTGCAGTCCTTTGCCTCCTAAACGCCCCACCTCGGCCCACTCACCATGTAAGCGTCGGGCACTTGCCACTGGAAAAGGAGGAGAATGCCGACGTGAAGGAGAGCCAAGCCGGCCAGGACTTGGTAGCGCGTGAACCCGTCCAAGGCAACGTGCAGGAAGCCCGGCTGTCTTTTTTGAGCCTGCCTCCTCCAACACCGTTTGCTGAGGCTCCATGAGGCCGTCATGGTGACTTTTACGGCCACGCCCAAGGGAGACACCTAGATACAAAGGAATCCCAAGAGGTACACTGAACGACATGAGTGTGGGCTTCTTTTGGCTGCACGAAGCTTCATTAGTTGTCCCCCCCAAGACCCCTGAGATAACCACACAGATGGCAAACATGTTTACGAACACTCGACCGTGCCATCATTTAAATCTGCGAACTGGGTTGGTGCTTTTGCCGTCGTGGGGAGCCAGCCCGCATGAAAGCTTGGCAAGACGATAATATCATAAAGAGATAGAAAAGACACGGCCGTCACCACGCAGCAATCCCGACGCCGGCGGTCACTGAGACCTCACTCCCACGATATACTTCAAAACGTGCCCATGCGCGTACTTGCGGCATCTCCTTCGCACTTCCTCAACGTGCACGGACATGGGCAGGGACAGCGAGCGGTCTCGTCCGACATTTTTTGGTTGCATCCAGGCGATAAACAAGCATGGCCGCAGAGAGTCCCTCCGCTCGCCAGTCGTGACGTCTTCCTTTGAAGGCCTGCGGGAATGGCCATACACCGTGACTTCTCCACTCAACGCCGTATTACACCCACGTACAGGAGTAAACCATGCAGATAAAGAGGCGGAGGGGTGTGGGAAGCAAAATTTCGGTTTCCATGGAAGGGTTTGAAACCAAGCCTGGTGTCACAGCCGAGGGCCCGGCGATGGAGATCACAGGAGGGTAAGGGACGCGTTTGCCTCTCGAGTTTTTCAAGCTTATGTCGTGCTGGGGCACCATTTTCACTCCCCATATCTCGCAATATTTCTAGAGGGCGAAATGTAAGCCATGCTTATGGCCAAAAAGGCAGGTGTGCCAGTCTGCACGAGAATCCTTCCAGACTACCTCCTTACCTGGCTGGACAGCTGCCACCTGGTGCCTCGCAGCGCACGACCCCCGCGGGTATACTCAGAAGTCACGAAAAAACGAAGAAATCCACAACCATTGGTAGCTTTGCGACCGATCTGGAGATGCATGGGCGGTGCGAGGACTCCCCCCCTTTGCTAAAGCTCGTGGCCCTGGGGGGGTCCGATGCTGTCTCTCCTGCCTCCACCCCGACAGGCAGCCCCTGCCGCAGCCCGTCAGACCAAGCCTGTGCATCAAGAGACTTCCATGCAGTAGACCCGTCTGTGGTTCTGGCCTCGTCAGCATCAAGCCCACCTTCACTGTCGTCGCCGAGCTCCCCCGTTTGCTACAACTCCCAACTTCACCATCTGCCCGGCAACCACCCACAAGGTCTCATTATCGGTCCGCAGCGCTTGTCATTCATGTCCAGGAGTACCTATGCACCACATTGCCCGAATTTACCACCCACGATAGCATCGGCGGCAGCGACGATGCCAAAATCGGGAAAGAAAGGGACGACGCACTTGCTAGCTGGCGGCCCTGCCCCTCAGGAAGAAGAGCTGGAGCCGGAGGCGGAGCAGCAGCTGCAGCAGCGACAGTACCTGCGGCGCGACCCACAGCAGCCCGAACAATGTCGCGGGGGCGGCGAGCAGGAGGAAGAAGAGGCGGGGCCGTCGTCGCCTCGGGGTGCGCGAGCTGCCACGGCTGTCAATCCAGCGCTGGGTTCCCCCCCTTCCTCCACCCCACCTCCCTCCCGCCGTGCCGTGGAGGCTTTACACAATGGTCCACCGGCCGCTGCGGTGAGTCCAAGCTCTGCTTTTTTGCGCGAGAAGGAGCTGCTGTGGAAGACGCGCGTCCCGGAATTCTCCCTGGCCCTTCCCACACCTCGCGAGGACCCCACCTCGGTGCGGGAGGAGATGCTGGCGAGCACTACCGCCCTGCCCGTCTCCCAGCCCGTGCGCTTTGGGGCGGTGATCCGCCTGTGGGTGAAGGAGGAATTGGAGCCAGGGCGGCCTGTGGACCGGGAGCGGGGGGGCTTCTTGGGATACGCGGCTCGAGACCTCCGGCGGATCCAGGGCGCGTTGCCGCAGGGGGGCCGTCTGAACGTGGGCATGAACGACACCTTCTTCGTCCTACCCCCCTACCAGAGCGGGAGGGGGTGGCATGTCCGGGAGGCGTACTTTCGAGTGGAGGACGCGGCGGGGGGCGGGCAGCGGAGGGAGGGGGAGACGGTGCGGTATGGAGAGGAGCTGCTCTTAGTCGACGAGGAGGACAACGTGATGTGCCACTTTAGAGGGCGGAAGCACATCCGTCGGAAGCCGCGGGGGACCAAGGTGGGTGGGAGGGAGGGGCTAAGGGGCGGGCCAGGGCCTGGGAGCGGGAGCCCTCGCTTGTCTGTCCCCTGTGTGCCTTGTCTTTCTCGACCTCCTCTCCCTCTTGATCCCGGGACAGGGGGAAATGAGCGTCGCCTTGCTCCCGCCCCGCGAGGACATGCTCGGGAGCGACGTCCTCTACGGGGACACGAATATCCGCCTCCAACTCGCCACCCGGCGCGGCCTGAAGACGGAGGCCGTCGCCCTCAGTGCCCTGCGCCGAGACTCCATCGACGCCGTCGGCGGCTTCCTCAACTGTTTGGGTCGTGGCCAGGTGCGAGGGAGGGAAATAAGGAAGGAGGGAGGGAGAGAGGCGTAGGCGGGCGACGAGTGGGCGCAGGAGTCGGAGATGCGGCGAGCACGTTTGCCAGCGCCCTCGCAAACCTCATGCCCCTCCCCCTCTTACATAGGAACTCAACTTCGACATCGAGCACGCGCCACCGCACATCTCGGAAATCACCCTCACCACCTCCATGAGCCATGGGCACCGGCACTTCCTCAGCCGAAGCCACCACCACCGCGTCCCCTGGGGCCAGACTGTGAGCTTCGTCACCCCCTCGTGCCAGGACCACACGGCCGCGGCCCACGAAGGTTGCCTTCTCCGCGTCACGCTCTCTAACGGGAGCCGTCTAAAGATGCGGCAGGGACATTGCGTGTGGACCGAGATGGGGGAGGAGGAGAAGGACAGGGGCTTCGAACGGGAGCCGTCCGGGGTGTGGCTGCCGACCAAGGGCATCGAGGGCGAGGATGTGGACTTGCTGGTACGACTCGTGCGGACTGAGACTGCAGCCTTGGACCCTCGCCGCCATTTCCCAGGGGCCACGCTGTCTGCCACAAGCGCCGGCCCTAATTTTTCCGCCTCCTCCCGTCTTGCGCCCCTCACGTGCAACGCGCTCCTGGCCTCGCTCGCCCGCAGGCTGCCTCGGGATTGTCCTCTTCTCGTCCACGCGGCCCTCTTCCTCCTCCTCGAGGCCCTCCTTGCTCCGGGCGGACCCGCAGGTCCGGCCCCTCTCCTGGCCCGTCTTGCCACACGCAAAGACACCGCCCTCGCCTTTTCACTGGCCTGCGTCCTCTACGCCGGCTTACAATGGCTGCTGCGTCGGTCCCGGCCCGACCCCAGAGCCCCACCGGTCCCAGCGGGCGCGACCCCTGCTTCTTTCGCGTCGTCGTTGAAGCGTCCCCAAGCACGCGACGGTCTCCCGGCCACCATGCTCTTCGACAAGTGGGAGCTCCTCGTGCTCGACTGGCGCCCCCCCCTCGATGCTGCCGCCATCTCTCCCGCCGGCCTCCCTTCCCCCGCCCCCGTTCCCCCTACCTTTCTAGAAGCAGAAAAGGGAGACGAGGTCAAGGCCCGGGCCCGATGGGCCAGGACCCAGGCATGGCGGGCCTCCCACCAGGTCGACCAGATCCTTGCCCAGCCCCACCCAAAGTTCTCGCTGATCAAGCGTCACTACCCGCAAGCATTCCACTTCCGAGACAAGGAGGGTCACGTTTGTTTTTACGAGCTGTTGGGGCGACTCCAGGTGGGTGAGCTGCTGCGTCAAGGTGTCAGCCTCTCCGATTTGACCGAGCATGTCATCCTGCAGCAAGAGTTCCTCTGGGGGGTCCTCCAGCCCGAACAGAGCGACAGGGTCACCCTGGTTTTGGACCTGAAGGGGGTTTCCCTCGCGGACGTGACGGGGGAGGTGGTCAATGTCGCCAAGATGGCTGTAGGCCTGACGTCCACCCACTACCCCGCCCGCTCGTGCAGGACGCTGATCCTCTTTGTCCCCGGCTGGTTTAACCTGATCTTCCGCTTCGTCAAGCCCATGCTCAACGAGGACACGCGCAAGAAGATCGTCTTTCTGGACGAAGGGGCCGTCCGCCAGGGCGCCATGCTCGAGTACATTGACGCCGAGTTCCTTCCCAAGGAGTACGGGGGCACGTGCGAGGTCCCCCTGGGGGAAAGTCCCTTTGAAATCCAGCTGAGGAGTATTGTTGAGGGGGCCGCTGCGGCAGGGATAAAAGGGGAGGAGGATGGAGGGGAAGAGGGGTTGGGGGAGGATGAGGAGGGAGAGAAAGGGTCATCCGACGGACCAAAAATTGAAAACGGGGAGGATTTGATTGGTTAGTGTTGATAAATTTCACGCATAATAATACTGATTCAGGAAGAACGTAAAGGTTTTGGTTTATGTAAATAGTTGATATTGGAAAGTGCGATCTTGGCCGACTTTCCTTACTCCGTCCAGGAGGGCATTAGACCGATCTGTAGTCGACAGTTACATATAAACTAGAAAGCGAACACGCAGTAAAAGCAGGATCAAAGCAAGCAGGACCAGGGAGAGTTTCGAGCCTCCCTCCGGTTTGGCGCATCAAAGCCACGGCCCAGCATTCATTTTTCGACCCAAGCCTGTAAGATAGGATTTTGATATTATCTGGGTCATGAAAGTCAAAGAGTAGAATGAGTGGTCCGTGTAGAATAGATTGCCACATGAGAAGGAAAGCCCACAGAGGTAATGCCCGAGCGTATGCGTCGGCTGGTCATTTGACGGCGCTTGTCTTAATTTCTTTCACGTGGTGTTGTGAATATGTGTTCTCCCTGCGTTTACTTGAGCCGTACTCGCTTATAAAAACAAAAGTGCAACTGCACTTTCTCGCTCCCCTCTGTCCCGCCAGAGTTCAGTCTGACAGGCACCCGTCCAGATCCTCGTCGTCATCACAAGTTGTCGCGGTGCCACCACGGATGGCGGCGTGCTGGCTCAAATGGAATCGGCGAAGCTCGTCCAGGGTGGGTGGCGCCGTGTAGTCGATCGCCTCTAGCTTACCCAGCCGCGCTGCTACTCTGGCCGTCGGGAACTCATCTTCTTCCCCCTTGGGTTGTCCGTCTGCCAGCCCTTCAAAGCCTTGCAGGCGCTCCTCCGCGATGCTGTCTTTGAAAAAGATTACAGTGGGAAGGATTTTTACGTGCAGCTTGCCCACAAAGAAGGGGGCCTTCTCGGCATTAATCTTGAGGAATTTGGTCTCAACGTGTGTGGGAGCCAAGGAAGCAAGATGCTTGTCCATGATCTTGCACCGCATGAAGTCCTTATGATAGAAGTGAACGAGGACGCGACGGGAGCCTGTCACCTCCGGCAAAAACTCATCCTGAGTGATCTCACGGTACTGCCCGTGACCTTTGCTCATGTTGTCGACCTTTTCTTGGTGCTGAGCTTTCAATTCAGCAAGGCGTCTTTCTCGGATGAGTTTAAATTCAGGGTCCAAGCTGTCTTCTGCTTCGTCATCCTCTTCATCAGAAAGCAGGTGTGACTCCTGCAATTTTTGCACGATTTCTTCTTGCCGCGCGGCATCGACAGCTTGCTCCTTCGACTTCCTTATTCGCGCCTGAGCTCGATGCTGCTGTGCACGCTTTCGTGCTTCGACTTGTCTATACGCGCTGCCTGTAGGCCCGTCTACCGATGTATCCTCATCGGGCATCGAAGCCCCACTTTGCGATGCGGCTGTCCGCTCGTCATTCTTTTGTCGCAGTTCTTCCACAGCCTTACCCATTCGATCATTGACTGTCTGTGCCATGTGCTGGTAAACGTCATCCCCTTGGGCGGGGTCTACCATGGTGAACTTGCTGGCCATGGCTTGAGGAAAGGACAAAGGGGGCTCTGAGGGGTAGATTAAAAACCAAGATATATGGATGAGACTTCACTAACATTCTCACTCCTCCAAACAATTGCTCTTTCGATTTTTTTAGAAGCGGGATCTTGCACTCTTCTGGGACCTTTTCTATAATAGTAAAAGGACTTTTCTCCGTTTCTTCGTTTTGTTTTTTATTCGGCGATGTTGTACTGAAGGGTCTTCTGCGGGTTGAGGAGGTTCTCTCGACAAGCCACGCGCGCCATACGTTATTTTTACTCCATGCCTGCTCCTGCTTGCAATCGCTGAAAGACAAACAACAGACCCAATACTGCTTCCAACAACCTTGCGACCCCCGGGCACCCGAACCACAGCCGTCCGCGCGCCTCCGCCGGTCACGGGGGCGGGGACCGTTCCGATCCGTTCACGACGCTCGCGTGACGCGTGGGGCTACGCGGCACCCGGCTGGGCGATTCTATGTCTCGTCGGCGCAGGCTGCCGGGCGCCTTGGTGCTTGTGGGGGCATGTACCGGCCGTGTCTTTGGGCAACAAATAGTCCTTTATACTTGCCGATGAACGAGTGGCCTACCGGGTTTCTCAGGGGTTCTTTCGCCCTCTTCTTTCCCGAACGCCAAGGATTTATCCCGTGTTGCAGCCACCTCCCGCGGCACGAGGGAGAGGAGCATAGGGCATAGCATCCTGTCGTGTGAAACGCATTTTTTCAGGGCTCGTTGTTTAAAAGTTGGGCCTGACGAAGTAAATTGATGACGGGCATTTTTGCTATTTTTTTGTGAATCAGGGTCAGTCGGCTGTGTGTCTCAAGGGAGCTTTTTGTGGAGTTAACGCAAAGCGAGCCAGGAGTACGTACGCGCATTGCTGCCTTCGAACAAGATGCAGACCCTCTTTTTGGCCACTCTGGTAATATGCGCGAGTGTAAGTACTGCTTTCGTGATGCCTCTTCGACCATGTACTCAGGCGGCTCGCGCTGGGAGCCAAAGCAGAATTAGCAGCATCCGCGGGATTCGCTCCAGGCCCCTCCGCATGGTGACCCATCCGGACGTCGACAACGAATACAAGCGCAAGCTGTCGGAGCAACGAAGATGGACGAAGAGCACGAAGCAGTTGGCCACGCTGGGACCCGTCTCGAACACCGAAGAGATGATTGAGAAATTGTTTCTGGCGGGCGTGGACGTCTTCCGCCTCAATTTCTCGCACGGCGCGCATGAGGAGAAAAAGGCATTATTTGATATCATCCGTGGATTGGAGGTCAAGTACAACCACCCTATTGCTATTTTAGCTGATTTGCAGGGTCCCAAGCTTCGAGTGGGGACTTTCGATCACGACAAGGTCATTTTGGTGGATGGCCAAGCCTCCGGTTCGACTTGAGTGACGAGCCTGGTGACGCCGCGCGCGTGAACCTACCGCACCCAGAGATCATCAACACGCTTCAAGTGGGAGACACGCTCCTTCTGGACGATGGCAAGCTTCGCATGACCGTCAGCGGCAAAGGCGAGGGCTATGTGGATACCTTGGTGAATGTGGGGGGGGCGCTTTCGAACCGCAAGGGAGTGAACACGCCCTCCGTGGTCCTCCCGATCTCCCCACTGACGCCCAAGGACCGAAAGGATTTGGAATTCGCCCTGTCTATCGGCGTCGATTGGGTGGCTTTGTCATTCGTGCAGCAAGCCCAAGATATAGCGGAGCTCCGTACGCTGGTGGGAAACAAGGCCAAAATTATGGCCAAACTCGAGAAGCCCTCGGCGGTCGAGGAAGGCGTGGTGGATGACATCATTATGCTTTCAGACGGAATTATGGTGGCTCGCGGGGATCTGGGCGTGGAAATGCGCCCGGAAGACGTGCCTGTGATCCAGAAACAAATTATTGACAAGTGTCGCAAGTACGGGCGCCCCGTGGTGGTGGCGACGCAGATGCTCGAGTCCATGATTGAGAGCCCGACCCCTACGCGAGCAGAGGCCTCGGACGTGGCCACGGCCATCTATGACGGTGCGGATGCGATCATGTTGAGCGCCGAGTCGGCGGCGGGGAAGTACCCCGTGGACGCGGTGATGATGCAGCAACGGGTCATCCTGAGGGTGGAAGAAGATAAAGCCTACCGGAAGAACCTGGCCCGCTCCAACCCGAACCGTGTTGAGAAATCCGCCACGGACGCGATCACGAACGCGGCCCGAGAAATCGCCGCCACGATTGGGGCCTGTGCGTTGGTCGTCTTCACCGCGAGGGGGACGACGGTGCTCCGTGCCTCCATGGGCCGGCCGGGGGTGCCCATCTTGGCTATTACTCCGGAAATCGAAACGGCGCGGTCCTTAGCCTTGACCTGGGGCGTATACCCGGCCGCTGTGGAGACACGCGCGGAGCATGAAACCTTCCCGGACGTGTTGCACAAAATCTGCTCGGTGGCGAAGGACAAGGGCCTAGCAAATCGGCCGGACGACCTCCTGGTGGTGACTGCCGGCTTGCCCTTTGGCTCCCCCGGCGTCGCGAACGTGATCCGGGTGGTGCCCGCGTCGGGGCCGGAGGACTGGGTGGTGGGCGGCGACAAGAACCTGAACACGATTTAAAGTCTCAGCAAGGGCAGGAGGAGGCAGGGGAGGAAAGCGGGAGGCGTTCTGTTTCATTATAGTTTCAAAGACAAGGGGTGTAAGCGCGCCGTTCCCTGTCGCTCGATGTTCTGTATGTTGAAGCGTTTTGATTGTATCGTCTAGAAGCAGCTTGCCTAAGTGCGTGGACGTGCGGGTGAAGGGGTTCGCTAGACGACTCTTTGGAGTTTCTCGCTGTCGCGTGATTTTCGTTGTGTTAAAACCACAGAGCCGTGAGCTGTGGGAACAGCAATCCGCAGCATGTCTCATGCGAAGGATATATGGAAAGGCGAATCATTCCCGGACATCCTCAAAAAGGCTATTGACATGCCATCGGCGGTTACTTGTAGGTCATAATCCTGGGTTCTTTCGTCACGACTCTTAAGAAAGAATCGGCAACCCCATCCATCAAAAAATAAATTTTGGCAGCATCAGCAACGAGATTAAAACCCCAATCGTAGCAATCGTGAAAAAAGAGTTTTTTTGTCCTTATGCTTCCCTCCCTCCCACGCTTTGCTTCTCTTTGGTCAGAGACACCCAGGTGCTCCCATCCAGCGGAGACCCTCACTCGCATGCAGATGCCTGCCTTGAGCACCGACGTTTCAGAGGTTGTGCATCCCCTTTCTTGCCACTTAGGTACGATACAGGCTTTCCCATCCTCGCGCGTTGGCCTTATGCGGTGACAATATGGGTCTTCTGAGAGACATAGATCCCGTCCAGGAACTTTCGAATATCCCTGCGGGCGAAAAGGGAGGGTAGAGGGAAGGGCGGGTGAACACAGGCGACCATTATGTGCACTTTGACTCTGAAATCCCAAAAGCGAAGCCAAGGTGCCCGGGACACAAGACACGGCACATCCCCAGCCTAGGCGCGAGCAGACGATGCCTGTACATCCCCAGCCTAGGCGCGAGCAGAGGATGCCTGTCGCTCACCAACCCCCGAGAACGTACTTGCGCTTGACCGTCGTGCATTGCTGAATGCGGGCGGCTGTCAGGGACACCGCCGTTAGGTCGTTTCCTTTCAACTCGATCTGATCTTTGACATCCGAGGAGCGCACGTACTCGACCCCTGGCAGCAGCTCCACGCGTCGCACACGCTTCTCCCCCAAGAAGTTGCGGACTTCCACCGTCTTGTCCGTCAGTGATACGTTGATGGGGAAATGTGCGTAGACAAAGCGCATTCTGTACAAGAAGCCCTTAGTCACACCGGTCATCAGATTCTCGATGTGAGAGCAGACGGTGCGGATGGTGGCGAGCTGCTTGCGGTTGGCGAACCACAAGTCGACCTTCAGCTTCTTCGGGTTCGTCCCCTTGTCTTTGTTTCCGCCCACGAGCTCGAAGGCGATGTTCAGATGTTTGAATGCACGGGAGAGCTCTCCACGGGGACCTTTAACGGTCACATGTCGAGACTTGATGTGCAGCGTCACTGCCATATGTGAGAGGCGGGGGAAGACGGTAGACGTCAAGCAGGATGGTTATGAGAGGGTATTAGCCAGCCAAAAGTGCGGATATGACGTATTAGTGGCCTTTTCACATGTTGACACCCTTAAATCGGAGGAGGGAGCATCCCCTTGAAGCGGTGGTCCTCCTACTTGACCTCATGGCAGGCAAGGCGCACCCTCATGCTTCAGCCGTCAAGATTTTAAGCCACCGACTCCCTTGCCAACCTCGCCACAGCAAGTGAGGCTAGGACAGTCAGCCATTTCTAAATGACAACAATCTAACTACTACGAACCAGACTTCGTTTGCAACGTCGCTTTACTTGGGGCCATTATCCATTCACGCAATGCTCTCACAGGGACCTCGATTCTTTGCGTTTTTCAGTCCCACTCTCCACCACTTCGCCGCACAAAAAATGGCTTCAGCGTAACGTACCTCCTTCAGGGATATTGACGATTTTTGTGGCCAGAATGAGCTTCATAGTTGCCTAGACAAGAGCAAGCCACCTGTGGCGGACACGAGGCGAGAATTTTAGGGTGACATACATGAGATAAAGCAAAATGAGACGCAATCAATTCAGGGCCGACAGCTTGCCATACACGCTGCCCAAGTCTAAACTGCAGAAAGATTATGCTTTAAAATCAGACAGGCGTTCTTTCCTCGACGAGACATGAAGCCTAGGCATCGAGGCTTCGCTTACTCCATCATCTCCCATCCCTGCTAGCCTCCCCTCCATCCGTTGTGCACAAACAAAAGATGCCTGCAACCACAAGTACAAGTCAGTGTCCAGCCACCGAGAACAAAGAAGGATTGAGTGCACGGGTACCGCTATAGGCAAAGTCGCTCGTCGATGCTCTGGCTCTACGACACACGGGGAGGAAAACGACAGGCATCAACGGTGCAGAAGCAGCCAATGAGCTTTCCTTCCTCGCTATTCGGTCCACAATTGGCGTCGACCCTTAGTTTCGGTCCACAAGAAGCTAGCCTCCTCGATCTCGGTCCACAAGAAGCTTGCCTCCTCGATCTCGGTCCACAAGCTAGATAGACCCCCCCGGCGATAAAGAAGACCTGACGATACGAACACGCAAGCGAGGTCATTCCCATAGGGGTTTCATTCTTTGTCTTTTGCTTGTAACTCGTAGCTCTTCTCACTGTGGTCCGTACTATTGATTCGACAGGCAGTCGATTAACAGAAAATTTACCTCGCCTCGCCTTGAGACACGGACAACGCAGAAGAGAACAGGCAACTACCTCGTCGTCCTCATTTCCTGACCTGAGCAACCTTATACCTTTGCAGCATGGCGTGCTTCATGTTTCTGCGTCTTCTTGTGGTCGTTGGTACAATCGCCTCACCCATCACAGCATTTTTTACGCCCTCGGGTAGTCCACTTTTCCGATGCGTGTTGCCTGCCAAGACATCACCACCCCAACCTCCCCACGCTGTCGGACCTTTTGCCACAGTCGCGCAACCTGCACCCACGCCTGTTTCCCCGATGCCTCCTTCATCGACCACCTCATCATCATCCCTCACAAACGCGCCGTCCTCGTCTGGGTCCTTGCAACCGCTTGGCCCCGGTCACGGCAGTGGGGCTCCGATCGACTGGTGGCGACAGTGGTACCCGATGGCCTTCCTCGACGACTTGGATCCTGCCCGCCCCACGCAGGTCGAACTGTTAGGCAAGCTCTTCGTAATATGGGCGGACCATGACAAGACGTGGCACGCCTTCGAGGACCAATGTCCCCACCGCCTCGCGCCCCTCTCAGAAGGCCGCATCGACGAGCGCGGAAACTTGCAATGCGCTTACCATGGCTGGTCATTCAGTGGGCAAGGGGGCTGCGTGAATATCCCGCAAGCCGAGCCGGAGATCAAGGCAGTCGCTGAGCGCTCGGGTCGGGCCTGCGCCAAGGCAGTACCGCTCTTGGTGGCTCAGGGAATGGTGTGGCTGTGGCCAGACAACTCGCCCGACGGCATGGAGGCATCTCGGAGCCAGCTTCCCAGCACGGTGCCGGAGCTGCACGACCCGGCCTTCATCCGCGGGGCCTGGGTGACCCGCGACCTCATGTACGGGTACGACACGCTGGTGGAGAACGTGGTGGACCCGGCCCATGTTCCCTTCGCCCACCACGGCGTGCAAGCCCAGCGGAGTATGGCTATGCCCCTCAATGTGTCTCTGAACTACGTGGGCAAGGAGGGCGTTTTCCTAAGCTTGCCTCGACTGGCGAACAGCACGATTGAATTCCATGCGCCCACGCGTCTCCACTACCTGTTCGATTTCACCGGCTTCTTCCAGCGCGTCCCCCTGATGAAGTGGGCCTTTCGCTTGGAGAAATGGCTGCGTCGACTCCCCCCAGACACACGCCCTCGCTCCTCGTTGGTCACGTACACAATTCCAGTTGGGCCCGGGCGCTCGCGCATCCTGGCCTTGTTTCCCCGAAATTTCTTCGCGATCAACAAACCCCGCTGGCTGGACCACCTGGAGCGGAACGCGGTCCTGGACGGAGACTTAGTCTTCTTGCATGGACAGGAGCGGGAGATGCGGCGGCCGGAGTTGAAGTGGGAGGAGAACATTGACCGGGCGTTCTACATGCCCACCAAGTCGGATGAGGGCGTGCGCGCTTTCCGTCAGTGGCTTGTCCGGTGGGGTGCCGGGGGCCCGAGGTGGGCGGATGGCGTCGACTCGGCCTTACCGCCGCGCAGCAACGACCGGCACTTCCTTATGGACCGATACACCCAGCACACAACCCAGTGCTCTGCCTGCCGGGGGGCCCTCCGGAATATCCGGGTATTGAAAGGCGTGACGGCGGCGATGAGCTTGGTCTGCATGACGGCCATCTGGACGCCGCGGCCGGCGAGCGTGTTGGGGAAAATCTTGGGCGCCGGCGTCGCCATGGCCTTCGGTTCATGGCAGATGGCACGCCTGGAGAAGCGCATGCTTTTCATAGACTACGTCCACGCGCATAAGTAAGGGCAACAAGGGGGGTGGTCCAGGAGGCTCGCGTAGAGAGACGGGGCGGAGGCAATATGCCCGCGGTGGAGAACGTTGTGCTTGTCGCCTGGGAGAGGAGAGGCCTCTCAGTGGCGGACAATGCGATGATATCGATAGGCGTTCGAAAGATGTACAGCAAACGGGAAGGGGAGAGGAAGGAGGCCGTAAATGGAAAAGCGTGCATCGCTGCTGGATACGCAGCGTGCCGAGAACGGTTTCGGGGCGGCTTTTTGAGTGTAAACAAACGTGAATGACGTAAAAAAAAGATTGTGGGGACTGATAGAAGGTACGAAAGCCAGCTCTGGTGCGTAAAATGAACATCCGTTGCTTTCCATACATCAGCAAGCCGCTTACTCCCAACCCCCGAAGCGATGCCATCCGTTCCGCAACAGCGTCGCCGAAAACGGCAGCCCAAACGCTATCAACGAAGCTCGCCATGCGCTTCCCTCCCCTTCTTCGACGTGAGAGGCCAGCCACAGACTCAGAGGCGCCGGCATGTAAGCGGACGACCTTCCCCCTTCCTGCAGAAGCACGGCCGTAGACAGGGTTGACGCCGCGTACACCGCCCCGGTCAAGAAGACGCTGTGCTGGACGAGTGGATAGCAAGCCTCCACGAAGTCGCCCCACACCAAGTTCGTGTAGGCCCCCCGTCTTGCCAGGGGACGCGGGTCCCGGCCCCCGTTGCTGGGGTGGTCGGGAGGGAGGGGCAGGAGCCAGGTCGCCACCGTCACGCCCGCAGACACTAGACAGAGCGAGCAGTAATCCACCGCCCCCAAGAAGGAGGGATCTCCGCGCTCCATCTCAAAGAGGATGAGCGGGAGGAGTACGACGTGATAAAGACCCCTTTGGGAGCCGTAGGTCACCCCGGGACCCACGGCCAGGGCGAGCGCCCACTGAAAGGCGCTGATTCCCGCCACGCCACCACGTCCCCCGCCTGCATCGTTTCCCACGACCACAGGAGCTTCCAAGTACAGAAGAATGCTTCGGAATGTGTCCGAGACCCAGGCGCATGGCCGTCGAATGAGTAATCTACCCCCCAGCCCAGCAGATAGCCCCGCTGCCCCGGCTGTTATGATGGAAGATGCCGTGGCTGGCACCCACAGGGACTTTGCCGTGGCAACCAAAAGCTGCCGACTCAGCCATCCTGCCAACAAGCCCGTAAGGGCTCCGGCAAGCACGGTGCTCTCAGACCCGGTACCCTCCTCGCTCCCTATCGCGCCACAGGCGAGCATGCCCGCCAATACCCCCGACAAGAGCCCGGCCTCTCCCAGTCTTCCCACTTGAGAGGCCGTCACCACCGCCACTACCACTGGCAAGGCATTCGCGATGTCCGACAGCCCTGTGAAGGTGGCGTGAGTCTGACGTGCCAGCCACCAATCCGAGATACCCAGCGCCAGAGCCTTCCTCCAAGCTTCCTTGGCCAGGACTACCGCCACGAAAACCGGGAGACACGCGGCCAGGATACTGTGAAGCTGTGGATAAGAAATCAATGGGTCGTAGGGAAGGCCCCAGAAGCTGGCTAGACTGGCTGTGAACGACAAGGCTTTCGTCTCTATCGTTGTTGAGACGGACCCGCCGCTGTTGCCCACAACATCACAGCCCAAGTCGCCCGCGGCTTTACCCAACGAAGTGCCACCAGTGCCGACGACAGGAATCTTAGCCTTGGCCGCGGCAAGGAAAGTGAATTGATTGACAGCCTCGGGGTCCGCACTGATGCTGATGAGGCCATCGACCCGCTGCTTCTCGTCGCCGATGATCATCCGGCTGATGGCCCGATCCATCAATTGCGCCCGCTCATTGACCGCCTCGAGGGTACCCTCATAGCTTCGTTCGACCTGATTCGTCTCAGTATTGAACGTCCATAGGACTGTCGGTGTCTGGGAGGCCGCGAAGTCCAGAGGCGTGCTGCAATCCACGAGCTGTGACGAGTGCGGGCGAGTGCATGAATGAACTTGAGGATTCACACCAGTGTCCTTTCTTGTCCTGTTCAGGCCCAAGTATCCACATCAAAGAAGCCAATCGGTGTGCTTAGTGTATATATCATATCAAGGGCGCTTTGCTTCCATACCTGTGCAACGGCAATACCAACTTCGCACTGTGCCAGCTCCTGTCGCAATGCAATTAAGAGCCCGTAGACGTCACTTCCCGCATGACTTGCTCCGCCCCCGCCGCTGCTACCGATGACAGCCACATATTTCTTGAAGGGCATAGTGTTGATGGAGCCTACCCACCGTATGCCAGAACGTAGTGGGCTAGAAGAGCAGGACGGGGCGTAAAAGGGGGGGGAGGTTACTTCCGGCCTTCGACTTGGTCGATGCTGCCTGTTGCAGATGATCCGCTACGAAAAATTGGTCAAAAGATTGCGCGCACGTCTTTAACTTTCCGGTTGGACCGCTCGTGTGTTGGAGGAGATCTCCGTGAGGAGATATGAGTGGTGCAGACAGTCGTCACTCTACGAGTTGATCTCCGGGCATGGCTCGCGGTGTTCTTGCTCGCCGAGACACGACCTCTGAGGGAGGCCGCAAATCATGTCTTTGCCGTGTTGATGCCTCACGCATCCCCCACACTATATGCTACGCCTCCACAGATACCAGAGAATAGGTGAGCATGCCGTTGTAAGTGTTCAATGGTGAAAAATGACGTTTTGCGCGCGCTCAAGGACACTGTCAACCGCTGTGTCGGAGGGAGGACGACTCCCTGCGCGTCTGGCAGCATAGGCGTACACCGCAGGGTGTTGCAGGGGGAAACGGCCGATACGTGCGCATACCAGCGACGGAGAAAGCGGCGAAGGAAAGAATTGGCACAGAGGATTTCTTTACGGCTGAACTGTCTGTCTACGCGTGTTCAAGATGGGGAAGCGCAGAACGAGTAGCGGAGACGATCGGGGGGAGGGGGCAGCGGATCTCTCATCGCCGCGAGGTGTCAAGATGGACAAGCAAGGTTTGAGATGGGCATGTGTAAAGTGCACCTTCGCGAACTCGATGTTGCTGCAAGAGTGTGAGATGTGCGAGTCGAAGCGTCCCGCCACCCGGCGTCTTCTCAAGCTTGTGAATCCTGACGGGGAGGAGGTGGAAGACGCTGGAACGGGCCTCTCTCCCGAGCCTCCACCGGGTCAGAACTTATCGCCACTTGCAGCAGGTGATTCAGCTGCTGTTCCAAACTGTGACATGGATGTACCAGAGGAAGGCGGAGGTGCTGAGGAAAAAGGTCGTCAAGGAAGGGAGGATGGCAGCGAGGCCGGTGTGCAGGAAAGATTAAGCATCACGATGCGCGATGCACAGGGAGTGTCGCCTCGCGCTAGACTGCTGAAGAGGAAGCGCCTTAGACGGCTTTCAACCAAAGACTCTGACTCTGAGAGTAGCGAGGAGGGCCTGGTGACCAGACTCGGAGGCCCCCCTCCCCTGCTAGCACCGGCAGCTGACAACTTCGCCGAAGCCGGTTCAACACCGATCGATACCCGAAAAAGAACGACAGGGTCATGGACACGAGACACAGGTTGGAGCGTAGAAGGAGAGTTGGATGCCCGGGTGCGTGGCGGGCTGGTGGAGGAGGCGGAGGTGGAGAGTGAGGCGGAGGAGGAGGGGGAGGGGGAGAGGGAGGGCGGTGGGATGGAAGAAGAGAGCGGAGTAGAGAGAGGGGCGTGGAGGGGAGGACAGGCGAGGAAGAGGAGGTTGAGGAATGAGGAGACGGGCGAGAGGCGGGGCAGTGATGTCCGGAGGGGCGTGGAGGGGAGCGAGGAGGTTTTCCTTAGCCGGGGGGCGCGAGCCGCAGGGACGAGGAGGGGGCAGCCGCAAGGATCCGTGCGGTGGGAAGCTGAGGAGTGGCTTGAGGGAGGGACGGAGGGAGGGCGGGAGGACGTGGTGCGGACTGTGAATGGGGGCCGGCGACGGGGGGGGAAGGGGCGGGGGAGGAGGGGGAGGAAGCGGGGGGGAAGGGAGGGAGGGAGGGGCAGGAGGGGGGGGAGGAAGGGGAAGGGGAAACAGTGGGGAGGGGGCTCTACGTTCTTTTTTCAAGGTGGACCCGCCGCCTCCCTCCCAGGGGCCGAGGCGGGAAGGGAGGAAAGGGGAGGCGAGTGGGGGGGGTGGCAGCGTCCCTCCCGCCCTTCATTTTCAGCGCGTGCGAGGAGAGGCGGGGGGGAGAGACGGAGTGGGCGTGGGCGA